TCCTTGAAATTGTTGTACTATACTCAGGTGACCGTTAAGGCCCTTGGGCCTCTTCTTTAAAAACCCACTGAATTACTGAATTCTCTAAATTATAGTAAATTAAATGACTATTAAAAGGGGTGATCAATTCTAAATGAAAGATATAAACACGTAAAGACTGCTTGAATGATATCTGTAATATTGATAGATCATGAACTGAATTTAAAAAAAATCTTACTAAATTTCTTTTGATGCACGCGGGTATGTTAAGACTACACCCAGAAATATCCTACTTGCCTTTACAATATGACGTCATAGTAAGCGGTATGACGTGAACTTTAGAAATAATGATTTCTTAATATCTATATTTAAAGTTTAATTTCAGGTCAAAGAAATGAATGGAATCATTCAAAACATAATATAAACTAAATCTTGTCGTTTTTGGGTGGTATAAATAGCTAAGTATTTAGCACGGGGGGTTAATACCAAACCCATGACGTCATAAGTATTGATCAAATATTTGCCTTGTGAAATTAAACGTGACGAGAATTCATGTAAACAAATAAATGAAATGGGAGTTTTAAATCATATACCGTGAATTTTATGTGTGATTCATAAGGAATTAAAGATTCAGAATCAGGTACGGTGATATATTCTTATCATGTTTTCTTATAATGAACACAGGCAGTGCTTTGAAATCCCGATCAGCCTTTCCTCTGTCGTTCTATAACAACAAAGATGCAAAAGTTCAACACTACGCCGCATACTTTGAAACAAATTTTCTGTTTGTATCGAAAGCTTGTATTCTATAGTACTTGGAAAGTGCTGCTAGAATCGTGTGGTTAACATGAATTGATAACAATTCCTTGATCGTATGTATAAAATGTAAAATTTTGGTAAGGTTTCATGTGAAACTTTGGAATATTTTTTCTGTGTCGGGAGAGTAGGATTCTAGCAGCACTTTTCATGGCCCAGTGATGTTTTTACATAATTATTTTCACTAAAAGAAATGAATTAGCTCCGGGGTAGTGTTGAACTTTTCACTTTTTCATTAAGGCAATTTTTCTATTTATAGACGTCACATGATGACGTCGTAGTGGAGTGCTTCTTTTAGCCTAAGACTCAGTGACGTCTATACAAGGGATAATAATAGTAAATGTTTTATCTATGACTTTTGCGATTTATCAATGTTAAATTTTACGAAAAAAGTCTAAATTCGCCGAAATATGATCTGGGTACTACCTTAACATACCTGCGCAGCTTGTTATATCATATTGATTTTTGCACCGCACACTCCAATGCCTAATCTTTTACTTGTATAATTTTCAAATCGTTAATAAAAAGTAATATTGAGTTCCGCTTCAGATTACATTTATAATCGCAATTTGTTACGAGGAATATACACTGAAGTGTTCTATATACGGCTATAATGAAATTATAAAGTAAAATATACCCATGAATTATTTTCCTCCAATGAACTACAATACAGAGACACTAAACGGACATGCCAAAAATTAATGTTTACCTGGATATAAAATGATGATTTCAAACGCTGTAGATTTTGTTTATTTTACTCAAACTTTCACTTTAATTCTCTGTCAGACTACGGGTGATGATGGCCGGTGTGGGTAAGTGCCACTTTATCATAATAAGGTTTTAACACTACATAAATATATTAAAACCTTTCTTTTAGATCCAATACTTGTTGTTCAGGTTACCACATGAAAGATGGCTTATATAGAGGTACTGTATTAATCTACTGGAAATTGAAAAAGGAGAAAACAAGGCTTTTAAGATTCAGGTTTATTTTTTCTGCGAATTTGACAATTAAACAATATCATTGCATTTCTGTTTTGTAAATGACATCATAAAATGATTAAAAAAAATAATAATATTCAAAGTTTGCGAAGACGGAAGACATGGAATAAACTGCGGTAAATCTTGTCAAGAAGGTTACTTTGGACGTCTGTGTAAATCAAAATGCCCCACACCTTGCGAGCTTACCTGTGATAAAGTCACTGGACAATGTAGCAATCAAACCTCTATTTGTGAGTTTTTTTAAATTATCAAGTATGCATATGAAATGTGTTTATTAAATGTAAAATATTTCACAAATACTTTTTCAATTACTTTAGAGTGACTAGTAACTTTTACACATGTTTTATAGCTGACAATGGTTTGGAGAGCTTCCTTAAGAAAAATTCCTGGGTTCTTGTTATTGGTTCTTCCGTGCTAATGATTTTGTCCTTTGGATGTATTGCATTTCTGCTCTGTCACCATATGTGGTAGGTTGTGGCTATTGTTTCCATAAGTTTTACCTCGTGTTTACTGTGTTTCATTTACTGCATTTAGAAACAATTAAAACGCTTCAAGTTCAACATTGATGTCTGTAGAATTGTTTTAGCCATAAAAGAGAAGACATGCAATTAATATCAGGTATTTTATATTTTCCACATGTGATACATTAAAATACGATTCAACTAAGAAAAAAATTATGGAAAGTGTAGAAAATTTGTCCTTCTTATAATCCTTCAATTGTATTTCTCTATAATTGCAGAACCAAGGCGCAGAAATGTAATACCCGGATCTGTTAAACAAGGAAAATTCATTCCACGTCGATCACAGAAAAGAAAAGACTCGGGTAGAAACAAGAACCTCAAGCAATTAATAGAAATCAGTTCTGAAGTTAAAGAATTCACATCAAACAGTATTCCAGATGACCAGAATGTAGCAGGTCAGGCTAGGGAAGTATACATCCTTGTGATTACAAACCCAGATATCGGTACAGCTTAGCAAAAAACTTCGAAATAGCAGATGGAATTGATATTAGTCAGGAATTTTCTGACAATTACGACACTGCTGATAGTGAACATGATGTTGAATATGACAATATGGATGTTGAAAAGAGATCCCAGATGAAGAGTTAGAGTGAAGTGGTGCAAAGTATGGCGGGTCCGTGAACTTGAAATATAAAATTTAAAATATCTGTCCATTTGTAAAAAGTTATTCTGGGAAAAAAGGATAGGATGTATAGCCTCTCCAGCACAAGTATACCTGAGAGGGGTTTATTTATTCGACAAGTGCGTAGTTTATCGTTTTATTATCTTTCTACATATATACTTTAACTTAAAGTTCAAACAGTCAATTATTTTTCCATAATCAATTTTTCTTTTATTTATATGAAATACATGGAAATAAACACGGAGTTTTTTAATACCTCTTTTTAAGAAATAAAACTTTAATTTTCCTGTTTCCTTTTCCGTCTCTCTTCCTCTTCCATGCATTGTGACATGGATAGAGACACAGTTTAAACCTTTTCATGACGTCATAACTGCTGATCAAATATTTGCTCAGTGAAAAGGAAACGGAACAAAAATTTATGTAAATAAATAAAGACGAACGAACAGTATTCAAACTCAAAAGTCCATTTAAACGATACAAATCAGGAGCGAACCAAACGTGGATCTCTAAAAACATCAGAAGAGGGATCAGGTGCCATGGAGGAGTAAGCATCCCCTGTCTACCGATCACATCCACCATGTGCTCCTTGTCAGGATTGGAAAAACGGAAATATTAGGAGACAATTCAATGTGTTAATAATGGCCTAACAATTAATATGAAAAAACGTCAGTCAGCATTTGACTTAATGATAGTTTGTATTTGCCTAAATGGTCATTGTATCTACAGTAGAACTTGCGAAATGATAACTTAAAACCAGACTGTTGATATTCTTGTTTCATCAACTTGTTTGTCAATAGCTTGTCTAGTTTGAGAAATTGTTACCACGTAGATCATGGTGGAGACATAAACCCCATATGCTGGTGATAAGGGTATATTGCTATAATATAAGGGAAGATGACGCTAGAAATGTTGAAGTCATCACGTTTATCATAAAGTTTTGTCGTTAGGTTACCATTAAGGTCTTCTTCTAGTAAAATATTCAAATATGAAACAGATGTGTCAGACTCTGTGATTTCTTTCATTTCAAGCTCACTGGGATTTATCGAGTCAACAATCAAATGAATGGAAGGAACAATTGTTAATTGATAAAACGTCGTCGATATATGTAATACCAAGTGTTTTTTTTTACTCATGTACAGGTTTTAAATAAATTATGCTTCATATAAATACAAAAATAGGTCTCCTAATTAAAAATGTTTTTGTGACACATCACAAGATACGAACTGAATTCAAAAAAAAAAAAAAAAAAAAAAGTTCTTTAAAATTCTTTTAATGCAACGTCTTACATCATAGTAGTTTTGGTACTGCATTTTCCCATGCCTAATCTGTTAACAATCGATATAAATTAGTTTTGCTTATGATTGCATTGATAAAATTCAATTTGAAACAGGAAGGATATGTTCTATTTAGCTTTAATCAAATAATACAATAAAATATACCTATCAATTATTTTCCTCGAATGAACTTTAATACAGAAATATCTAAAATGAATGTTTACCGGAAAATAAAGTGATGATTTAAAACGCTGTAGATTTTGTGTATTTTACACAAACTTTTACTTTAATTCTCTGCCAAACAAACTTTTTTTTCAGGCCGGTGTGGGTAAGTGCCACTTTATCATAATAATGATTTAATATTACCTAAATGTATCAAAAATTCATTGTATGACAATATCGCATCACACCCTATACTTGTCTATAAACATGACAAATTCAGAACTGTCAACATCTAATCACAGGAATCTTATTTGATTGTTTTTACATACTGAAAAGTATATTATTAAACCTTCGTAACAAGTTTTGTATTAATTAATATTGAAAAATGCAAATACATGTACTTTTTTTCCTCTCAGATCCAATACTTGTTGTTCAGGCTACTACATGAAAGATGGCTTTTGTAGAGGTACTGTCAAAGCATCTGAAAATTCAGAAAATAAAGAAAACAGTTCTATGAATTTTTATTTTTTTTCTGCGAATTTGACACTTTAACAATATAATTACTTTATTGGTATATAAATGACCACATGAACTTTAAAATAACTTATAAATTAATATTCACAGTTTGTGAAGATGGTACATATGGAATGAACTGTAGCGAATCCTTCAAAGAAGGTTACTTTGGACGCATGTGTATGTCAAAATGTCCCACACCATGCGAGCTTACCTGTGATAAAGTCACTGGGCAATGTAGTAGACCAACTTGTATTTGTAAGTTGTTTTTTAGATTATCAAAAAAGGGAAGTATATTAAGTTTGTTTGCTGTCTACATGTCACAATGTTCCACATATGCTTTTTAACTTCCTTTATAGTGGCTAGTATCTTTTACGAATCAGGTTTTGTAGCTAACAATAGTTTGAAGGGTTTTATTTAGAATAATTGGAGGGAATTTTTAAACAAATAAACTTGATTGGTGTTTTGTAGGCAAATGTCAAATTTGATTCTGAATGTAAAACCATTAGAAGTTTGAAAAACAAATAAATCTTGTAGGAAAGTAGTTCTCTGTTGGAAAATATTTTATGCAATAAGATACATTTGTGCAACGTTACTAAATAAAAAAAAGATAGCTAGACCAATTTTTCAAAAAATGTCTTTGATGGTGCATCAGGGGACGCTTCAAGTATAATTTAAGCGGCCCATTTTTGGAGCTTATATTCTCTTTATGTACCTACTTGGTGAAGTTCTCGAGATAGTCAGACAATGATTAATAGAATGGAGTATAAAGATATTGTAAAATAGTTTTCTGGTTTTCAAAAGGTGAAATTTCTTGATTTTTCAGAAGTTAAATTATTTATATGTTAAAGATTTGCAAACTCCAGTCTCGCTAAAAAGCGTAAGGGTAAACAAGTTTTCATCACCAAAACTTTGTAAATTGTCTTAATAATTCTGAGTAAAATCTGCAGTTTGGTACATTATGTAAAAGTTTTCTTGAAATTCCTTTGAAGTGCTCATTTAAAATATTAGCAATTCATTGTAAATTGTTAGTTTCTGAGTCAATGTAAATGATATATGGGTAGGAGTAAAATTTTCCCTCATTTCTCTGGGTTTTGAATTGTCCGCGATGGTGATCTGATAAACAAAGTTTTCCATTGTCAAATTTTCAAAATCTCTCTGATGGTAATAAAAAATCTCGAAAAGTTTAACTTCATTAATTTCCTATGTTAGCCATTTTGGTTGAGTTTCACTTTTAAACTTTTTTAACTTTGGTGTACATGTCAAGGCATTATTCAACAATTAGAGAAAGTGTCAAGAATGTCATTAGGATCGTGCAATTCTACAAAACTATCAAAATGATCAGTTTGTAAATCAGACAGGAACTTAGATTCAGGTTTAATTTTTGTTCTAAGTTTATAAATCTTTTATTTATTATAGTTGGAAGAATAATTCCATAGTGTTTTGAAGCATCATATTATGTTTATGATATCAGGAAAATATCAAATATCAGGAAAAGAGAGATGTAAATACTAAGATAGTTTTGTTACTCCAAACAATCTTTTATTCTCTTGGTAAATTTAGAGTTTCACTACACTGACTCACGCATAACAGAAAAACCTTCGTTACCCCCCCCCCCCCCCCTTCATACCCACATCTGGAAAATTAAGGTGCAATAAGTGTGTTCATGATTGCAGAACCGCCTTTAATGGCATCAAAATCTTTTTGAATATATTACATTTTACTTAGACAAACTCACCTTAAATATTATAAAAATAAAATTTTTGCACATTTTGGGTCTATTATGTTCTGAGAATCTTATCATTTGTTACAGTATCTATTTTACAATATCTATTTTATTTTTTACCTTGAAAGCAATCAAATATAATGTATAAGAATTCGGAATGAAACATTTATTTACCAAAATATACTCAGTAAAAAGAGTTTCAGGAAAAGTTGCTTTTATTCGTCCTTTTTTTTAGACCCACTAAGTCAATAAAATATCTAAGATATAGTCAATTCAGTGACTATAAAAAGGGGGTGATCAAATCTAAATGAAACATATAAACACGTCTGGCAGAAAGAGACAGTAATCAAAACTGCTTGAATGATAATTGTAATATTGATAGATCATGAACTGGATTAAAAGAAATCTTACTTAATTTCTTTTAATGCAGCTTGTTATATCATATTAATTTTTGCACCACACACTAAATGCCAAAATTGTTACGTGTATAATTTTCAAATCGTTAAAAAAAAGTAATATAGAGTTCCGCTTCAGATTCCATTTAATAATCTCAATTTGTTACGAGGAATATACACTGTAGTGTTCTATTTATGGCTATAATGAAATTATAAAGTAAAATATACCCATGGATTATTTTCCTCCAATGAACTATAATACAAAGGTACTAAACGGACATGCCAAAAATTAATGTTTACCGGGATATAAAATGATGATTTCAAACGCTGTATATTTTGTTTATTTTACTCAAACTTTCACGTTGATACTATGCCAGGCTACCGATGATTTAGGCCAATGTGGGTAAGTGCCACTTTATCATAATGAGGTTTAACATTACATAAATATATTAAATATTCTTTGTATGGCAATACCGCATCAAATACAATACTTGTTTATAAACATGGCAAACTGAGAACTGCTGATTCTTCATAACGGTAAACTTACTTTTATAGTTTAAAAATAATGAAAAGTATATTATTAAGACTTCGCAACAAATTTTGAAACAATAAGTATTGAAAAAGCAAAAACTTCTTTTTCTCCCAGATCCAGTACTTGTTGTTCGGGTTACCACATAAAAGATGGCTTATGTAGAAGTACTGTATGAAAGTCTGGAAAGACAAAAAAATCTGAAGTTTCATTTGTTTTGAGAATTTCACAATCTAAAAAAAATAATCATTGATTAATTGGTTTTTAAATGACTGCATGAAATTCCCAATTCTGAGGGCCCCAGCCTCCATTCCCAAAAAACTGAAAAAAACACTGACAGTTTTTACTGACGTAATTGTATGTATGTAACTTTATAATTTTAATGTTATAATTTCTAATACACATATGTTAAATTACATGTAATCAATCTATTCTTTGTTCTTAATTTATGTTTATTTGCGTTTTATGTACTGCGCTTTAGAGTAATTTTATTAATATTTAGCGCTTTATAAATTTATTCTATTATTATTATTATCATGAAATTAAAAATAATTAATTAATTAATATTGAAAGTTTGTGACGATGGTACACATGGAATAAACTGCAGAAAATCTTGCCGAGAAGATTATTTTGGACGTCTGTGTACATCAAAATGTCCCAAATCTTGCGAGCATACATGTAATAAAGTCACTGGGAAATGTAGTGGCCTTCTTTGTAAGTTTTTGTTTTAGATTATCAAGAAAAGGATGTATCTGAAATAGGTTTCTTGTTTTTATATTAAAATGTTACACGTATGCTTTGTCATTTATTTTGGTAATTTTTAGGAAACATTTCTTTGGAGCTGACAATAGTTTGGAGAGTTTCCTTAAAGGTGCTTAGACACAGATTTGAACTTAATATTTTCTCAAATTAAACATAATTAAAAACTTATTTTATCTGGAAATTATTGGAACTACGAATTTCGGGACGCGTTTGATTAACTCATCTTTGCACTTTCACAAAATTTTACTTTATCCTTAATATTTAAGAAAAGAAGCGATTTTGTTATGTATTAATGAAAAATATTACATCTATAATCCAGAAAATTCAGAGTAGAAATGTTCGAAAGCAAAACCAACTCAAAAGTATTGTCAGTCCGTGCTCTGTGATGTGTACAGAGTTTAACAAATTGAACACACCCGTGAAACGTGAACTGTTTTTGTAAACAGGGCACGAGCTCTGTTATTGTTAATGTTTACGATTCACCGGGTGTGTTCAATTGTTAAACTCTGCACAGACCACTGAGCACGGACTTACAATACTGTGAGTGGGTTTTGCTTTGGAATATTTCTACTCTGAATTTTCTGGGTTATAGTTTTAATATTTTTCTTTAATATACAACAAAATTGCCACTTTTGTCAAGTATTAAGAATATAATTAAAATATGTGAAAGCGCAAGGATGTGTCAATCCAACGCGTCCAGAAATTCGAAGTTTTAATAACTTGATGAAATAAAATTTTTATTATATTTTAGTATGAAATGCTATAGCAAAATATAAGTCATGAAATTGTTTAGAAAATTTCAGAAAATGTTAACTTCAAATCTGTGTCAAAGCACCTTTAAGGAGGCTCATTACTCCACTTTTTGATGACGTACTACATAGAAAAATAAACCTCCATTGTTTCGTCCGTTTTCTCCTGGGGACGAATTGTACAGGTTCGCTTTGCTGATGATCTAAATCCTTAAAACGCTCTAAAAATAGACTAGGCAATGTTGTAAACAATGATCGAGAACAAGGTAACGGATTCATTGAAAATCACAAACGAAGAAGGGTTATTTTTAAGTAGAGACCAATGAGAATGACAGTCAAATCTTCGCTACCCAAGTAGTGTACAATGTCATAGCAAAGCAGCAAGTTCTACCACGTACTGACAACATGTACGTATAGAGGAAATTCGAGTTGAAATCTACAACCTCGTTGAAATAAATTATAATTGACTTGCGCTTTTAGAGAACTGTCTCTTGCTGGGTTTTCGTGTTTGTCTTTATTTCTTTGAAAAATGTATATTTATTCTAGAAATTTTAGCTTATTCTGAATCTGATATGTTCAACCGTTCCTGAGGGTTTTGAGTCAGGAGGACTTCGGTAAGATAACTCTTGCAAGTGGACTTTTTATTCCAATTATTTTTTAAATTGGAATTTTCATTTCCTAAAAACATTATCATTCAATTTGTCACTTGTTATTCATTAATATACATTCCTTGTCTATTTATAACTGATTTTCCAAATTATTCATGCAAAGATAAAGAAGAAAATCACATTAATTCTTTTTTGGGAGAAAATAATTTTTTCTAATAAAAATAATATTGAATATTATGAAGTGTTATTGTATTGCTTACATATCTGAAGATGATATCCATGATTTGACACTGAGATTTCTGCAATACTATAAAGCAGAAACTCGAAATAAAACATTTAACCAAAATCAGAAAAAAGATTAAAAAATATTTTAAAAATAT